ATATGATATTTAAGAATTAACAGTTGTCGGTATTTCACCTTTAATTGTCCTGTAAACCTTGCGTCTTTTTAATTAGATAGCTCTAGACTCTAGGTGAACAGTAAGTGTCTTAGCTCTCTCTTTCGACTGCGCAGCCTGGCCGTATCTTTATTATTTTTTTACGAATTGTTCTCTTCCTACGATAGCTCTAGCCGAGGATTGTAAAAAAATAAATTTGATTACTTCTTGTATCTTGTATCTTGTATCTTGTATTAACTGATGTTTTTGCTTTCAGTCCCGAGACTATTAAAGCTTCATCTGACGCAGAAACGGTGGGCTAGCCAGAACCCACGGGTTTGGGCCCTCCGCTGTAGGGCTCTCCGCTTTTTTGATTACTTCCTAACATGTACTTCCTAACAGGGTCTCGTTTTAGCAAACTGGGTACGGAACTCTGTAAAGCGTATATAATCCTTTGTAATACGTGTCCGCACGATATACGACCGATTGTGCCTATCTCGAATAATTTGATGTCTATCATAATGCATATTTCATTGTGCATCGTGCGAGGCGAGCGATTACATCGCATTTGCGTCACGCACCATTCTCGGTCGCGGCACCTGAGCTGAATGTCGAATAGACGATGTCTTTTGAACGTCTATTCTACTATTTATATCAGTACTAGCTTTTCGCCCGCGGCTTCCCTCGCGTTGAAATCCTTGAGTAAATATCTTTCTTTAAAAACTATATATTTAAAGAAAGATATTTTCAACCCCTTACAACACTTTTTTCCAATTAAAAAATAACCTATGTCCATTCTCAGGCTCTAGACTATATGTGTACCGAATTTCATTTAAATCCGTTCAGTAGTTTCAGAAACCGAGACAGACAGACAGAGTTACTTTTGCATTTATAATATTAGTATGGATCTTTATGGACCGCACTGCATATCGAACGCTGCCCTATCTGCAATCAGTCCTTATGAATGAGTATTCCAAGTAAATATAGTTAAATGTGATCTGGTGGTGACGAAAACATTATGCCCATAGACGGTGATTTCTGCCTTAAAATGTACATAAAATTTGAGAAGAGACATACTGTTGAGAAGAGACCGGCAAGAAACTCAACAGTTGCTCTTTTTTAAAAATATCAGTTTAAAATATAACATGGTACGTGCGTATAATAGCCTTACTTTACCCTACGTGAGTATCAACAGTATTAATTCCACACATTGGCAGCGTCAATTGTATGCTTTAACCATAAGTTTACTTTTGATTTTGTGTTTAAATTGATCAAGCGGCAGACTTATTATCGACCGTGGGATTTTATTATACATACTTTGCCCCATGAACGGCCTATTTACATTTTGTAGACAAAACATTGGCGTAGTTAGTTTGGCCTTGTTTCTAATATTTAATTTATATCTGTCACTATTACAATACAGAATCAGAATCAAATCTCCAAAACAAATTCACTCTGCTTGCGATCGTTTCGCAATGTTCGTAATGTTCTATTTCCTCCGGGAAAAAAAAATGTACACGCTCGATTGATCGTTGCGAGTCTTTTCGCATCAACCGGAAAGAAATGTTTTGACGTTTAAATGCCTCGAATTTCGCCTAACCTTGAACGCGGTTACACAATGAACGTTCAAGTTATACGCTCTGCGGAACGTTGCGTAATTGAATTCACAATACGCTCCTCGTGTAAGCCGAAGAAGCTTACGAGCGGCGACGTCCTTGTGGTTATTACAGTTCATATATACCCACATGACGTATAAAATGATAGTGGTTTATTTATATTACTCATGTAGTGAAGACAAGCCAAATCGTTTACTATGCCGTTCATCAGCTAAAATGATTATACAAGGGATCATACATTAACTTAGTGTTATATAGTGATCATACATTAGCAAGTCTTGTTTTTATACCAATATTTCCCGTCAAAATACCAGACTTAATGGTTAGGAGATATTTAATTAAATAATTAAATTTTGGTTTCGCTAACGCTAATTATTACTAAGCAATGAAAGAATGGCTTTAGTTTAAATAATATAAAAAGTGTGTATTGCTTGTTGTTTTTATTCCGGGCTGGTCTATGTATCAACCGGTGTTAGATCATCTTTGTCAAGGTTAAAAACCCCTGGTTCTGCATATAAACCAATGCTGAATTATATTTGTGAAGGTTTAAAACCCCTGGTTCTACATATATACCGGTGCTGGACTAGATTATGATAAATATGTTATAAATCATCTGAGCTCGGATCACTTTGGGCAAAAATTTTCAATAACTGAAAAAGCTAATACAAGCAAACTTAAGATAAAGTGTAGACCAGTCACTACTAATAGAATAAATGCTTTTAGAGATAAATTGGCACATCATATGTTAAATAAAGATATAGGAGTCAATAACCCTAATGATTCTTATAGATCAATGGTTGACTTTCTCATATCTTCTTATAATAATACTTTTAAATCGCGCACAATTGTTAAGAATTCAAAATTAAAATTTAGTGACTGGGCAACAGTGGGTATATACAAAAGTAGGGATTCATTGTATGAATTATATAGTATGAGGCAGTGGAATCACGATCCTAACTTCCTTAAACGGGTACAAACATTTTCAAAAATATTTAAAAAAGTCTGTGTTCAGGCAAAATCTATTTATATAACAAATAGCATAATAAATTCAAACAATAGAACTAAAGCCACATGGGACATCATTACCCGTATATCTGGAAGAACCAAGATATTCAGGGAACCTATAAAACTAGTTATAGGTAATACTCCCATAATATCAGATAACGAAATTGCGAGTAGTTTCGAAAGCTATTTTTCAGACATTGCGGTTAATGTCACACGTACATTAAAATCATCTCCCGCAGACGCAATTAATGTTTTAAGAAATAATGTTACCCCTTGTCTACACACATTTAAATTTAATCACGTAGATACTTATGATATTATAAAAGTTTTGAATTCTATTAATCTTAAAAATACAGAGGATTTATGGGGTATGTCCATAAAATTAATGAGCACAATAATGCCATATATTGCACCACATTTGGCTTCTATTTTTAACAACTGCATAGATTCTGGAATATTTCCAGATCTTATGAAATTTAGTAAGATAATACCTGTCTACAAAAGTGGTGATAAAAATGATCCAGGCAACTATAGACCTATTTCCATATTGCCATCTCTTAGTAAAGTTTTTGAAAAGCTAATATTAAATCAACTTTTAGTTCATTTTAATGTGAACAAAATCTTTCACGATGAGCAATATGGATTCACTAAAGGCAGATCGACAACAGATGCGGGCGTCGCACTTGTCAAACATATTTATAAGGCCTGGCAAAGGTCACAAGATGCAATAGGTGTCTTTTGTGACCTTTCAAAAGCCTTCGCGAAGACCATAAAACTCTCCTTCAAAAGCTAGAATATTATGGCATTCGTGGCATCGCCCTCAATCTCATTGCCTCTTACCTTAGTAATAGAATTCAAAAAGTATCTATAAATGATGTTAATTCCGCTGGGTCCCAGATGAAAATGGGAGTCCCACAAGGATCAATCTTGGGCCCATTATTATTTTTAGTATATATTAATGATCTCCCCTTTTATGCCAGTGGGTTGTGTGATGTTGTACTGTTTGCTGACGATACATCGCTTATTTTTAGGGTTGATCGAAACGTGTTAAATTATGACGACGTGAATAGTGCACTTTCACATATCCTCCACTGGTTTACTATTAATAAAGTAAGTATTAAATTAAGTATTAAATGCCAAAAAAAACCAGATGTATTCCTTTTACCCTTCCCAGTATAAGAAGGAAAAGTTTTAGTTTAATATTAAATAACGTACCCATTAATCCAGTCGAGTCTGCTGTATTTCTGGGAATTACGGTAGATTCAAAGCTCCAGTGGAGTCCCCATATATCATCTCTTGCGAATAGGCTGAGCTCCGCGGTTTTTGCGATTAGAAGGGTTAGGCAGCTAACAGACATCGACACTGCCAGACTTGTTTACTTTAGTTATTTTCACAGCATCTTGTCGTACGGCATTTTGTTGTGGGGTAGTGCATCAGATATAAATTCTATATTTATTCTTCAAAAAAGAGCTGACTCCGCTGAGCTTGATGACTCCGTGGCGCAGTTGCCAAGGTATTGGCTTCGGCGTCGGGGGTCGTGGGTTCGATTCCCGCACGGGACAACTATTTGTGTGACCCACAGACGGTTGTTTCGCATCTGGGTGTTTGTCCGCGTGAAATTTATGTTTGTAAAACGTCCTTACAGCACAGGATAATGTAATCCTAAAGTAAGGGATATAAAAAAAAAAAAAATAAAAAAAAAAAGAAAGAGCTGTCCGAGCAATCTACAATATCGGAGCCCGGAATTCACTCAGAGATCTTTTCAAAGAGGTTAATATACTCACTGTTGCTTCTCAATACATTTATTGTAATGTTTTGTATATACGTCATAACCTTAATTATAATACTACTAGAAATAAGGACAAACTTACTACGCCATTGTTTCGTCTACAAAAAGTAAATAAGTCGTTCACGGGGCAAAGTGTGCGCATGTATAATAAAATCCCACAGTCGATATTAAGTCTGCCGCTTGACCAATTTAAATGTAAAATTAAAAATCAACTGATGATTAAAGCATATTATACCATTTCGGAATATCTCGACGACGCCAATGTGTGGAGTTAATACTGTTGATACTCACGTAGGCTAGAATAAGACTATTATACCTGTATATTATATTGTACCCTGATATTTTTGAAAAAGAGCAACTGTTGAGTTTCTTGCCTCGGTCTCTTCTCAACAGAAACCGCTTTCCGAACCGGTGGTACCTTACGAACCTATACAGATAATCTTTGATGTAAAATTTGACGATTCATAAGAGCGCGCAAGCGTCTATTTGAATAAATATATTTTTGATTTTGATTTTTTAATTTGATTACTTGTAAACTACCCTTTGTTTTGTGGCTATCCGTGTGAAGTATGACCGTGTGTTTCCCCGCCCAGATGGGAGCGGGCGCGACGGGCCCCGGCGGCCGGCGGGCTCTCGAGTTGATCCTGAGCAGCGGGCTCAAGTCGCTCGCACGCCCAGCCAAGCCCGTGCGCCGCGCCGCCTCGCGCGACTCGGTGCTCGCCCAGCCGCAGCCGCTGCTCGAAGGTACGGCCCCTGATCTCTTCATCTTTATCTAATCTATCTCTAAGATAGCATTATCATCATTTAGTACATGCTTCAGATAGTAATTCATTTAAGCATGTTTGAATACTGACGAACATTGGCCCCCTCCATCGTAGTTGTAGGCTACATTGTCATCATGATTTTAGCTCCTTTAAGTCCACTGGTGAACATAGCGTTCCAACGGAAATCGATCTAATGAATCGATTTTGAAAATTATTTTACCAATAGAAAGCCACGTTATTTGTTATTTATATCTATGCCCTGATCATCACCCCCATTTAATAATTATTTGTTCATTACAAAACTACACATGTAAAGCGCTTTGTTGAGTTTTGAAATGTCTACGTTTTTGTTATAAATCTGGTGCAGTTATTTCCAGGATGTTAACTTGATGATCATTTAACGAGGCTTGGTGTTCGCTCGGCGTTCTTTATATTCACACATGTGATCTACACATTTAAGAACACCCCACGCGGGCTCCATTAAATACTTGCATTAATGAGCATTACACTCTTAATGTTTTCGCATCATTAACATTACATTAATTACTTTATGTTGATTAACATTATATTCATTTTTGCGTGGCCCTACCACAATAAAAATTAGGGCCACGCAGCAATCTTCGCTGTTGCACGAATGGAAAGGTCCGTCCGGAGAAGTACCTCACAGAAGACCGGCGTCAAGTGGAAGTGTTATACTTCTGCGTTTCGTCTGGTAAGTGAGGTAGCCGGGGTCCATTTTATTAAAAGGCGGCAACGCATCTGCAACTCTACGGGTGTTTCAAATGACAATGGGCGGTGGTTATCACTTAACATCAGGTGGAACGCATTTATTTACTCACCCAGATTATGATCATTTAAAAAAAAGAATGAATAGGCTATTACTGAGTTAGTGTATTTTCCATCTAAGATTGCACCATCTTTTCTCATCATCAGGTGCGATAGTAAGCAAGCACTCTTAAATTAAAATAATAATTCCACACATAATGAGGTTGACGAGTATATTCGTACTATTTACCTAAAGTAATTTATCATGTTTAATTACCAGAACACTTAAGATTGAAAAAATAATTCATATATAATAATTACCAAAAATACAAGTTCCTCCTGTCAGAAGAATTACTGAAATTATTGTTCCTAAATACTTGTTGCGAGCCTTCTATTTATATCACTACCCTGTTACGTTTTTCTAAAACCGTTAGTTTAAAATTGTTATGGAGTTATTCGTAAACCTAAAACTACGCTTTGTTAAAGGTCCGAATACTTTTATTTGTTAAAACACAAATGTGTTGTTTTTTGTAGACTCTTAAGGATGATCAAATATATGCAATCAACCAACAACAATGAAACAATCTGAAGTTTAAAAAATACTTAAATCTTATTAATTAAGTATTTTAATTATTATTAATTAAGTATTTTTAAATGGTTGTTTATTTTGAGCCTCTAATTCAAGATAGGTACAATCATTTCTCGTATAATTTAATCCTATCTAAACAAAACAGGGTTTCTCTAAGAGACTGTTAAATCATATGCACGATACATAATATAACCGATAATAAGTTTGCATATTTTCTGTTAGATGTACGTGGTGTAACTTTTCAAGTTGTTTGACTGAAAATTTGACAGAGACAGTTTTATTAAATCTGTACGCCTGTATGTCACTGAACTCCTAAACGGCTGGACCGATTTTAATGAAATTTTTTGTGTCATCAGGTCGACTCGAGAATATTTTACATTCACAATTAGGTCCACTTCAATAATTTTTTTATTTCTAAGTTGTCGAATTTAAGTCGAGTGTACAGGACAACGTCTGTCCGTTAGTTTGTTCTTCGGAAATTGGTGAATAATATAGATAGAAACACGAAACACTGAAAAGTTTGATGCAAGCGGCAGTGGTTCGAGCTCTTTTTTGCTTTTTTTTAGATCCAGCGATATAATTTCTTTATTGCTATACCTGACGTAACCATTTTATTTATGATGGATTCAAAGAACTTGCTACGAAGAGAATGAAAACACAATATTTTCACAGTTTAGAGAGAATCTCCCTACATTTAACTACACTTAACCATGCATGCATTCCATATCTATGTCGTCTGTCCTGATCTTGACTATTCTAGTTCAATTGACATCGTCTATTGATAGCATTAGCTTACAAAGGAATTGTGCTACAGTTCTCTGATCCACTTGTCCCGACGGGCTATATATAGCGTCTCTATAAATAGTATTGATTGTTTACGCTGTGGCGCTATCAAATGTTGCTTTCCGGTGCATTTAATTTACATCGCGAAACAAAGTTGTGCTCTTTAAAAGTGCTTGTTTCAGGTTAATTTTTTTATTAATAACTTCATAATAGGTTATTTTTTTATAACTAACATGAAAGTTTGTAGTTATTTGAATCCTCCTCCGAGTCCAGAAACTCGCGCCCGGAAGACGTGGATTCGATTCCCACAGCGGCAAATAACTTTTCATCCTCTTTTTTTACAAATTTTAAAGTTAAAAATCTTTAGTCCAGAGATTAGTAAGTAACTATAAAAATTTAGAAGTAACTACCACACTAACATTCTTTCAGGTGGTGAAGTACACTTAATTACTGTTGTGCATTTACTGTTGTGTCACAAGCCTATTCACTGTTGTGTCAATGACAAATTAATGGGATGGAAAGACGGTTATCTAATCAAGCGATTTGCAGTACACGTCATTAAAAGAAAGGATCGATAGTCGTGATGACGTTTGAAGTTATGGGCTTACTTCAAAAACAAACTACGTTGATTCGTAATTTATTACTTTTTTACTATTAGAATATTATTCTCATCGAATAAAGTAGGACTATGGTGATGTAATAACGTATGCATTTGCTTTTTTTATGAAAATGAGGGATTAGACAATCTAACTCGGATGCAGGTAGAAAATAGACAAATCGGGTGAATGGCCTCCAAGAGGTTGTATTGTTAAATTTTGGGAGAACAAGATGAGAACTAAGTTAGGATAACGGAGTCCATTATATAAGCGTAGCAATGCGAATACATCTGATTCCTTCTGATTGCAATGATTAAACGATATTTGTTGTATCTTGTACGGTAAAAACATCATCTAGTAACAAGCGGATTACGCTTCTGAAATCTCATTAGGAACACGTGACGATGGCGTGTTTATTGGGATAACAAGTATGTATTCCTTGTTACATCATGATTGTAGCTGCCAAAAATCAAGTAAACCAAGCAGTCACTGGCGATGTTTGGATATTGATTTTGAGATCTGGCATAAATATATCCTTTGTAGGAATAAGCGCTGGTGGATGCATGTAATTCCTATAGCCTACTTTACTTTTGAACTTGTCTAGAAGCTCGCTTCAATTCATAGTTGTATGAATATCACATTTGTGCTTTATGTATGACGACAAACTCATTAGTTCTCTTTTCATGGCATTTAATTCAGCTTGATGACATATGTTTCATTTTTTTTACAATATTTATATATTATACTAGCTGTCCCGGGAAAAGTTGTTTTGCCATATATATTATTTCTAGGGTAAAAAAAAATGCTTGGGGTGGACCACACTTAACATTTAGGGGGATGAAAAATAGATGTTGTCCGATTCTCCACCCTGGCCGATATGCATACAAAATTTCACGAAAATCGCTCGAGCCGTTTGGGAGGAGTTCAATTACAAACACCGTGACACGATAATTTTATATACATTTAAATAATATAGAAAAAATTAATATAAATTTATTCTATATTTCTATTGTTTGAACATTGCCCTTATTTTAGGATAACATTATCCTCGGTTGTTATAACGTTTTATATACATAAGTTTCACGTTGACAAACCCATATCCGAAACAATTATCTATGGGTCAACGCAAATAGTTGTCCCGCGTGGGAATCGAGTCCACGACCCCCGGCGCCGAAGACAGTACTTTGGCACCATGGACTTATTACACATCCCGTCAAATCTACATTCATGCCAAAAAGCCTCATAAACCTGTCCATCGTTCTCAATCGATATTGATTTAATGCTTTTATATTTCTTTTTTGTTCAAATGTGGCACGAACTACTCTAACCCGAAGCAATTGAGTTTAACCATGTTATAGATGGTATAGTTTCGCGTAGGTGTTGACATAGGATTCAAGGTGAATTGCCACTCTGACCCACTTTAGACGCGTACAATATTGATAAAACGATCGCCAATACATTCAATGGCCCACCGTGAGTTGTGACGCGATTTAACGTCTTGCTCCGCGGCGGGTTTATTAATGCCAAAATTAATTTAACCCTCGGCATCGTGTCACACAATTGCTACAACGACGTGAATCACCAATGCAGATACCGACTTCAAAAAATCTTATAATAATACTAAATCTAATATAATCAAATCTTCAAAATATAATTTATATTACCTCACGTGCTTAATCACTAACAAAATTTAACAATTTTTTGAGTACTTCTTATTCGAGGCTGTTAACAATCAAGAGTTATACGGACGCAGCCGGTGCAGTATTTCCATGTCTCCATTTTAATAGATTTTACGCGCTCGTTTCAAATATTAACTTTGTCTTTCTTCGTTGTCAAATAAGTTGAAAAGAAATAATTAGAAATGTTGATCATGGCTAAGGGCTGTCGTTATTTTAACAGACGGTCAACGCTCCCACAGTATCATATTGCCTTATAGCAAAAGCAAAAAAGCAATAATGAAATTCTCTTTATCTAATCCCAGACAGTTATTAGACTTATAATTAAACTAATTGCAAGTTAAAAATACTGTTGCTCTTGTGCGCAAAATGTATAACAGAACCGAGTGAAATCTTTTAAAATGACACCAAAGGTAATCAATAATCCAATAATCAACTTGGTAGGACCACGCAAATACTTGAATAACTATCACTTGTCCAAACATTTTGATTTTTGATTTTGATTTTTGACAGAAGGACTATTAGTGTGTAAAAATTATTTTTGTTCACGTTGACAGAGTTGTAAGTACATAATACATGAACACTTAGCTGTATGTTTGTCCCAATTTGTAAAATTATAAGCATTCGCGGCCCAAGCTTGAGTCGAGACAGCTAGTTTTATATATTTTCATTCCTAAGCTCGCTGACGTGTTAAGCTACGAATGTGATAGTTTTTTGACGTTCAATAAGAGCTTTGACCTGACCTTGACAAGACACGAGCCTGTCACTTTACATTGGCGATGGTTAATGCAGATTAAGGATGTATCTTATGACCGTTGCAGCTTCCGCCCTTGCAATTTTCATAATTTGCGTAGAAATTGCGGCAGCGCGGAACAGTTTGCATATCTCGCAGTCGCAGTGCTCTGTTATTAATTGAAATTCTAATTATGCGGATTGCACAAGAACGGTTTCGAAGCGGTAATGTTGTTTGCATACTGAATCAAAGTGAATTCATAACCTGCACAGCGGCAAACTGAATATAATTGGTTGCTAGCTTTGTATTATTCGTTCCGAGTTCACAACGAAGATTGCTTTCGTGTACTATAGTTAGATCATTCGTTTATGTGACAAGGAACCAAGTTAAGCAGGTTGATTTGATGTTTAGTCATTGGGGGTGATTATTTTGGTAGGGTCATTATAGTGATGGGACCATGCAGCCTCAACTGTTGCACGAATGGGCAGGCCCGTACGGGGAAGTACCACCACCTTACAGAATTTGAGGTGGTAGTATTTTACTTTCGCGTTTCGACTGGCAAGTGAGATAACTGGGACACACTGTAAATGAATGAAATGTGATGTTTTCCGGTGGTAGGGCCACGCAGCAGCCTCGGCTGTTGCACGAATGGGCAGGCTCGTCCGGGTAAGTACCACGACCTCACAGAAGACCGGCGTAAAGTGGAAGTATAATACTTTTGCGTTTCATCTGGTGAGTGACTTGGCTGGAGCCCAATTTTCAAAAGGTTGTCAACGCATCTATAACCCTTGGGTGTAGCAGGTGTCGATGGGCGGCGGTATTCACTAAACATCATGTGAAACGCCTGCGCGCCTATCAACTTTTAACACAAACATATTTTTTTTATTTATTTGGGATAAATAAACAGTGTCACAGTAAATAAAAATTACCTAAAGGTAAATTTAACAATACAAATACAATAATTGTGACACCAACACCATTTACCACAGATTACTCTTCAAAGATTGAGAGATAAACGACAATAACAGCCCACGAAACACAATGTAAATGTAATTTTATAAATTGGGCAATAATTTTACCACTTTCTTACTTTCACATCATACTATGGTGTGATGATTCGTGATTAGTACTAATTCGGCCGCACCTCCCCCATGCCAGGTCTGAGGAAGTGCTCGACGGTGTTGGCGCTGACCGAGCGAGCCAGCGAGCCGATACGCGCCCACAACAGGTTGCGGGCGCCCTCCGTCTGCTCCCGATGCTCCTCGCTGCTGTCCCTGGCGGGTGCCGGTGGCTCCAGGTAACGCGATGGCATTTCTTTTCATTCCACTTTTGTAGTTCGTAGGAGTAAGACTAGAGGAAGTTCGAGTAATATATGGGTCGACTGTGTGAAGGATGATGTGTGTGGTGTCGACCCAACCCTTACTCTCTCTTCTGCCCTTGCCACAATAGGCAAGACCCAACCTATTGCGACAAGAGCAGAAGAAAGAAGACCTGTCTACTGTCTAGGAGTACGCTCTCTGAGTATGTACGTTCACTAATAAAAGCATGGTTCACTCTAGCATGATAGCATGCATCAGACATTTAAAACAAATCTTAAAGTTCTTGATTACTGTTCGAGATGTTCAGACTTGCTTTTTAACATACATACACTTTACCTTATTGCGTCAGCATCGAGTGCATTAAGTTTTTCCGTACCACAAATGGGTATTATTAAAAGCGCTTTGTAATTAGCTGTTGATTCGGTGAGCTTTAAGTGACATTTAAAAGGAAAAAAAAATATTTTTTTTTCCCTTTTAAATGCTGAAGCCGAACGAATGCCCCGAGCCGAAAATTTGGTTCGAGTTCAAATTATAAAAGCGTAATCAATCTTACACTTAACTTGTGTCCTTCGCAGGCATTCCCGTTCACCACTTTGATAGCACTTATCGCGTCTACTTTGGATTTAATTAAAGACTTGGGAATTTTAATTGCCAACTTGAATCGTTCTTTAATGAGTGTCCGCTATATCTCCGAATGAAATAACTACGTCTAAGTGGATTTTTATTGTAAGTTAAGAAATTACTTAATTAAATTATTCTTCACCTGTGAAAAAAAATTAAGTCTAATAATTCCCATCAGACATCGTTAAGCGTTGAATGAATGTTTTTAAAGACTTGCTGCTACCGATATTGACTGTGGCGTATTAAATGGCATAGGAAATATATACAATGTATATACAAATGTATACAATATCAATACGTACATACGTACGTATTGATATTGTTGTTATAATTATATAGTATTTGCCTCGGAATTTGTACTTTTTATGTATATAAAAAGTACAAATTCCGAGGCAAATATTGGCAGATCTGATTTATAATCACTGTCGAAATCTATTACGTATAAAAGTTGACAAAATGCAGATGTTTTATGTCTTGATTCCTTGTACAGCTTCGCTTCAGTTCGCTTCAGAAACTGTTGCACACATGTGAAGGCTGCTTCAGATATGCAATTCATATTTTAGCATAGGTAATTAATGCAATGACAAGTACATCTCATACACATGTAACAACATCGGTTCATCTTTAGGGTTCGTCGTACCCGAAGGGTAAAATAGGACCCTATTACTAAGACTCCGCTGTATATCTGTCTGTCCATCCGTTCGTCCGTCCCTCTGTCACCAGACTGTATCTCATGAACCACGATAGATAGAAAAGCAGCGCCCCCAGCCGACAGTTCGACGGCCATCGGGGTCTCGGTCCGCACCGCAACTTCGATGGCCCTTAGATGACATGCGGTAGTTAAACGCACGCATGAGCACATGCGCGGCCCTACCCACAGCGGAGGGCCCAAACCCGTGGGTTCTGGCTAGCCCACCGGTTTTGTGTCCGATGAAGCTTTAATAATCTCGGGACTGAAAGCAAACACATCAGTTAATACAAGATACAAAACAATATTAGTAAGGAAGTAAGCACAAATCTAAGGAATTTGGTAAATGTATGATTATTATTAATAGCAAGTCGCCTCTAAAACGACTCTTAAATTTTTTTTCAGAAAGTGCCAAACGAACAGGCTGTTCACCTGATATTAACCAGTGTGGCAACACATTTGCAACACTGGAAATGTGTTGCCGCCATCAAATAACGTGGGCCCCGGCTACCTCACTCACCAGACGAGACGCAGAAGTGTAACACTTCAACTTTACGCCGCTCTCCCGCGAGGGCGTGGTACTAACCCGGACGGACCTGCCCATTCGTGCAACAGCGAACACCATTGCGTGGCCCTACCACAGTTAAATTTGCACAATCGCTCGCAACAGATATTCGCTGGACGGCGCCGGCGGTGGATTCGTGCCCGCCGCGCCGGTCAACTGCAAACTCTGTCTGGAGGACACGCCGCCGGACAAGATCACGGTCATCGGCGGCTGCGGATGCTCCTTCTGCACGAAGGTAAGCCGATTCGAATCCATTAGGCCCTTATGGTGTGGCGACATCACTACATATGTTTGTTTGTATATTCTTTATTGTACTAGAAGTTTGTACAAAGGCGAACTTAATGCTAAATAGCATTTTCTTCCAGCTAACCTTTAGTGGTTGAGTACAAGTTACGGGTAGTGACGCTAAAATGACATACAAGATTTTAAGATTAAGATCTAAGACATAGTATAAAACAAAGTCGTCCCGCTGTCTGTCTGTCCGTATGTATGCTTAGATGTTTAAGACTACGCAACGGATCTTGATGCGATTATTTTACTAGATAGAGTGATACAAGAGGAAGGTTTATATGTTTAATACATTGCAACCTTTCGTAGCCGGGGCGGGTCGCTAGTAATAATTATAAGACATTTAATCCGACACTTCATCTGTCAACATATTACATTTGGTTACAATGTTTATAATTACAATGTTTAGAACAAAAACAAAATAATAAACTAAAAAAAAATATAACATATTATTATATGGTTAATCCCAGTTAGCCTCTCCGAACATCTGAGGCTAGTGGGACTCCGGGACGGATCGCTCCTAGCTCAAATGCAGAAGGCGGTCGTTGGTCCTCGATACCACCCGCATCGTCTGCCGGTTTCTCTCCCTTTCGCTCTAACCCTCGGCCTTTTGGTCTTCCCTGCCGAGGGCTTCCATCTGGTTGGGTTGGGTCCTATTGATTTATTATAGCCATTTTATATATGTATGTTTATTTTTATTTATATACCTAATAATAATTTTTATTTGTCTTTGAACTGGGTGATAAGGAGTTTTCATTTTTATAGAGCTCCAAGTTTAGCCATAATATACAGGGAGGTTTTTAAAGTTTTTTTATTAAATTCTAGACATAAATAATGTTACATAAAAATGTTAAATGTCTAAAATCACTCGTACTTAATTAAATACATTCATTTGAACTTATCTCAAAAATGGGCAACTCATTTATTTTACGCGCGATAATTCATTACTAACACGCACACAAGTTCGTTTCAAAAGTATACGACGCATTTATGAATGACTACCGCAATGTCAACACGTTGTTTTTAGAGAATGGAAGGGCAATGGTTTCTGAAAAAAAAAAATGTTTGTTTTTATTTCAATAAATGGTTATACTACCGAGTCTGAACCTATTGTGTGAATTTGGCCACCTTTAGAAAAGCCACCGTGTATATGGCATGCATATATTACTCGACCATCTGTCAGTTTCGCCTCTCGAATAAGGAATTGGTGATTGTATCTCTTTTTAATTTTCATCTATTTGCATTCAATCCCTTCTATGTCCTCGTTGATCTTGCGTCTCCTCTTCGTTTCATTTACGTTGAATTTTCTCAGATACATCGTAATAATTTTTTATCAATGAGTAGTAAAAATCCGTCCGAATTAAACGTTTGAGATTCAAATGAAATTATTGAACAGAGTGGAATATTCTGAATAGTAATAATATTCCGAAAACATTATTTGGTTGATGATCCGATTCTCAATTTTTCTTCGGATTTTAAAGTACAAAAACGACATTGAATTATATTCCGCATGTTTAGCTATCTCTTTCGCATCATATTTCCTATGAATCAAAATAGAATATTTTAATGAACGAAGGAAATATAAAAAAAATAGATCTCGTTACCCGTGACATTGATATAATCATCAATTAATTATTGCTCTCCTAGTCAAATCACCGCCGCGCCGTCGCAATTAAGTTTTAATTTGACGCAGGAAGTGGACTAGTGCTAGAGTGGCGCTGTCACACTGCGGAGTTGTTAATTGATGGATCTCGTTCTGTCTGCCTTTTTATTGGTGTTGATTAATCGTAAAGTGTTGCCATGGCGCGGATTACGGATTTAGTCCCGGATTTTTTTAAATTATTTTTGACATTGCCGACCAACATGGTAATATTGCTAGACCGGCCAAGTGCGAGTCGGACTCGCCGACGAAGTGGTCCGTGCCATTATCTATAAAAAAGGCAAAAAAATGTCTTTTATATGGGAGCACCACTTAAATATTTTAAGTATTTTTTGATATGGCGGCATCAGAAATACATCATCTGTGAAAATATCAACTGTCAAACTATCACGGTTCATGAGATATAGCCTAGTGACACACGAACAGACAGACAGACAGCGGAGTCTTAGTATTAGGGTTCCGTTTTACCCTTTGGATATGAAACCCTAAATTATTAAATCAAATAAATTTTTCGTCTCGTATTTATTATGAACTTAACAAAATACATTTTATTTAAGGTGTCTGGTCCATAATACAAGTATTATACTCAGGTTTTCCCAAATATATTTCGAAATAAAATGCACAAAAATAACATATTTTTCCATGTGCACGGATTAGCACTATAAAAATTTGTATCAATTAAAATTTTGGTATTTTCATTAAGGATTCTCCACCAATCACTATCACAACCATTTTATATGCGAATAAGTAAACAAATCGTCTTCAGGCCTATTTATAAACTATGCATGGGTTGGGACAACTTTATTCATAATCGAGTCGAGGCACTTGATATGTGTAATAACTTCGATAATGGTTATGTGTCTATTGAAAGAAAACATAGGCCTACATCGATGAGTAATTTTTAGAAAGTTGTATACGGCAATTTGGAAAATCACAGAGTGAACAAATTTCTAAAACGATAACACGGTGCTAAAATGTTATCGAAATCACGAGCGATAAATCATTCGAAGACCGGTTTCAGGGCTAAGTAATGATCTACAAGCTATTTGGATAAGATACTTACTTAAAAGTTTTTACTAACCAAAACAATAAGCAAATTCGCATTAAGTTTGATGGCTAAATTGTCGAAACTTCTGGGTAACGCTCCTAGGCTTACTGGTCAACTGAGTTAGCGCTCGATATCCTCCCAGCACGTAAATCTCCACCATCTGTGACGGTAGTTTTTATTTATTTAAATTTTTAGCATAAAAACATCGATAGTTTATCTATTAAAATAAGTTTTATCTTGACTAAAAACTAATACAAAAAATAAAAATAATAATAAAAAACCACAATTTAATATCTTGAAAGAAATTTTTCAGTCGCGGTACGTAAGGTAAGGCCATTTCTTAGGATCATCAGGATCATAGTGATTTTATCGGGTGCTTTAAATCATGTAATTATGTTAATAATTTCGTTATACCTGTTTTCTATGCAAATAACATATAATATCTAATCGTGTGTTAAATTATAAAAAGCCATTTCGACTTACTTGACTCGTAAGTCATTAATAAATAATAAGGAAATCATAATATCTGCATTACATTAAGGCGTATGAAAAGCGATTAATCCTATTTTAAATAGCACTTCAATTCTTAGTCTTACTGTTCTACAGTAAGACTGAAGCGATTTATCAGCATGACGTCGAACAATACGTTTGATTTCAATAAAACAGCGATTAAATCATAAATAATGAGACATACCTGTTAACGTCGTTTACAAAACTAAGTGAAGTTTAAATTCATTGTAGTCTGAAGTTAGAAATTTAGATTGTTAATAGGTTAAGAGTTATGTATGAATCTGATAAAGTTCCAACAAGTTTGTTATTATTTTGCTTCCCTTTCCGCTATTGCTGCTTTGAAACGGGGTGATCTAGAGAGGCTCATTATCTTGGAACAAATAGATGGCAAACTTGCTCGAGGCATGGCGCCTGCAAGAAGGTCTGATTCTGTGAAGGGTTTAGTGGGCGGTAGCATGTATTGGGCTGTCCATGAATTGCATGATGGTTGGCGATATATTGTACGTGGTCACGATCCTCAGCATTGAGGGAACGAGGAATAAGGAGTAATGTCGTGCAATTCCGTGTAACCGCTTGGGTTCATTTTTCATATTCATACAATATGTGTTTTTCTTCGTGTTTCGCTGATGCGGTGAAGCATAGTTACGAAAGGGATAACGTATGCCTAGTCGGGTATATATATGTCCATTCTTTTATCTTCCTCTGTCCAAACGAAACTGGTCCGCGCGGTTCGTGCTCGATTTTTATTAAACGAGTTATTTTCGACCGCGTCAGCTGTCCGGTACGTGATATCGACGCTCGTACACTCACCGTAATATATGTCATCCGCCAAATTAGTTCTTGTGTCTACGCGAATAGGGCTCTATCGAATAGACCCCAAGTTTGCGTTCCTAATATCATCAAGATAGTATTATGTACAGTCATAATGTTAATTGATGCAATATCCTGGTGTGGTTATGATAACAATTATGTAAATTCTCAAATGTAAATATTTTTTACTTGCCAGTACGAGAGCACGTGAGCTACGGTGCACGTTAATACAGCATTACGGGTGGATGAACGCATATTAAATTTTCAACGGTTTTTATTAAAATTTATAGGCTATGATGAAGGCTCTGAATGTTTTCGATTAAATCAATTCAATTTTGAATGCCACATATTTATATAAAATGTATCTTATCCAATAAAATACGACTTCGCTCACCTACATACAGTACACTTGCCTTTTTCTGTAGTACAAAAAATATTAAACGTTTCATGCCTTCTTGTTACATTATTAACGTTTTGAACTCAATTTGCATAAAATATGTAAATTTATACCCAACCGATCTTACTTTCGTGTACATTTGAATTTCAACATACATATAAATTATCTTTTACGGAGCTCTACAATAGCAAAAATAAAAAAAAAATCATACGTCAGATGAACAAAATCTCGATTTTAATAATGAAGTGAAAGTCATGACATGTACTCATGTTATAAAGTATAAATTCGATGACTCCGTGGCGTAGTTGCCAAGGTATTGGCTTCGGCGTCGGGGGTCGTGGGTTCGATTCCCACACGGGACAACTATTTGTGTGACCCACAGATAATTGTTTCGCGATCTCGTTTGTCCGCGTGAAATTTATGTTTGTAAAATTCCCTTACAACACAGGATACTATTATCCTAAAGTAAGGGCAATGTTTTCAAAAAGATGAAAGATGAAATACTCGCTTGCCTAAACAGGT